CTCGATAACCAACAATGTTATTATCGGCCAATTAAAAATGATTATCCCCTTCCGAGCGATTACGAGAAGCAGTTAATTGAAAACGGCGCAGAAGCTTCGCAACCCCTCGAAAATGTACAGATATGCGTTTAAAAATTTAAAGGCATCCTGACGTCAATTTTCCATTATGCGGGAGATTCTGCGTAAATTTTGCGACCCTGTCGATTTTTAAACCCCCATGACAATTTTCAAAGCCGAGACCTGACACCCCCCAGAATGTACGCGATAGGCGTTGCTCCGACTCGCTCCATATCCGTAACTCAATTTCAACTTCGAAAACTCGTCTTTACTCCATTATACGCGACGCCAGGGATGCCATCCTCTGTACAGGGTGTCCAACCGTGCCCACGTAATGCAGGGCCATTATTACTGCGAAGTCTCCACTCGTGCATTTTAAAGGCAAAACCCAATTTCGGTCCCTTATCAAATCCTAATGGAACACGATGACTGACAGATAAACGGCATGAAATTAAATTTCCTGGCCCGCGATCAGATCCAATTTCTCAGGCGACTCATTAACCAATAAGAATCTCCGACACTGCAAAATGACATTCTCCATATTTATATCAAATTCACGGTTAATTGTTCGAGTTTAAAACCGAATTCACAATGAACTCGCGCCTAAGCCGAGTCCCACGTGGAGTTTTCATCTAAAATTGACATTTTCAACAGACCAGGTATAAATCCTGAGTTTTTGAAGATCTACAATGACATTTTCATCTAAAAATGACATTTTTAACAGACCGGGTATACATTCTTAGTTTTCAAGCTGAATTCTAGGATGTGTTTAGACGTCCTTTTTTTAACGAGGCTCCTGGTTAATTTATTGTGATATAAAGTGGGTTTGGCTAGATTTCCGTGCATTCGGTCCACCTGGGGTGAGAAAAGGCACCGATCGAGATGGAAGGCAGGTTCTTTCTTTCTTCGGCTGTCAAACTTCCCGTCTAGAGGCGCAGCTTTGTGCAGCTTCCAGAGGGGCGTTCGAAAACGACGGGTCTCGCATATCGAGGTGCCAAAATCGTCGCCCTCGTCGTCGGGGTAATACGAGGGCACCCTAAAAGTGGAGGCGTGTAAATGACGTTCGACTGGTAAGCACGTTTCGCGAGGATTTTCCGCCGCGGAGCCGACAACACGTCCGGGCAAACACCGATTCTATGGTCGACAAAGGCCCGCGATGAAAACGCACGACCCGCGGCCAGAATTATTTTCGAGCGCGGGTGTTGGGAGAAGAAGAAAAAAGAAATAGAAGGGGGGGAAAAGAAAATAAAAGGCGTCGGGCGAGAACGCGGAAATTCCCAGCTCGACGAGCGCGCGACCTCTCCCTTAATCGAGGAACCCGAGCCCAGAGACAAAAGTCTGCTTTTCGAGAAAATTGCGCCTCCGATTACGACCCGATGAAATTCATCACGCCCCGGCCCAAGGTGCGCTGCTTTTCCCCGGAGAAAAGGGAAAATGCCCGAGAGTTTAATAATTAAAATTAAAACCACTTAAGGAGGAACACCAAGCGCAGGCGCCGAACGACTCATTACCGTAATGAAATGGAACCTTAGAAAAAGTTGTTAAATCCCCCATTTTGTATAAATAATAAAAGATAATACGCTGTGGAGGAATTGTAAGGTCCCTCGCTTAAAAAAAAAAAATAGGACCTGAAGGATTCGAACCTGTGCCTTGCGCTCTTGTCCGCAATGTCGTTGCGAGATATTGGGAATTAAAAACAAGAAAAAAATCTAGGGTAATGCAAGATTATTGAGGGACAGGTGCGATCTAGTTACTCTAGTCTGATCGCGTGGATTGCGGGAAGGAAGCGGAAATTTCTTCGCGATAAATCGAAGACCCTCTTTGAGGGAACTCCCGAACCTTGAACCAAGAGTCGCGCCGCAACACGTGTCCACGTTTGGCAAGTGGCCAATGGCATGGGTACCATCCACAATGAACTTTCCGTTCTGATAGTCGTCGTTGTTTTCGGGCACATACATAGGTAACAAGAATACCCCCGGAGCCCTGGAGAAACGAGGAGTGTTGCCAACAATTTTCCGCTAGGCGCACGTGGCCAGCCACTTCCATTAGACCGGCCGATAGCACGTCCACGTATACAGGAATTAGTCGCTCCCCATATATTTAGTAGAAATTCCCCGGAAACATGCCGAGAGGCAATGCAACATGTCCGTCAAATGGCTGCAGAGCTTTCCTCCTCCTGAAGAATTAATATCCCCAGTGTTTTCATATTTCACAAGTGTCCTCTTACGGCAGCGCGTGTAAATTCCGCGTCTAAAAGATGCTACGAAGTTGGCCCTACTCGAAAAATGATACCCTATGTTTTTAACAATTAATAACAAAATTTATGTCTGGGATTTAATCTCGATACGAGTTCCATAAATTATACTTTTATAATCCACTACTATTGATATAAACGCTCTCGTTGGCTGTCGCGGATAATTCTCTCGGTCCAATCGTTGACGTTTAATGTGAAATAAAAATAAAAATAAAATCAAGCCCGAAGTAAGCAGAATATTTCCTGGGAGAATACTTAAGGAACAATTAATAAATGTCTTGTACAACTTGGAAGTTTCTTCGAGTTTACATCTTTCTCGCCTTTGCGGCCTGAAAATTTATTTTTCCCGGAAATGTGGACAATTGTTGAGTTCAAATAACGTGTAATGGCCGAGAAAACGGTCGACGTAGAAATTTCGTCGGCGTTTGTCAAGCGACGGAATCCCCGCACGGTGGTCTTGGGCTTTGCCGGAGCTTCTCCTCTTTTCGATCCTGCGGAGACTTTTCCGCAACTCCGGTCCGCAGGATTCTCGTGCATTTTGTATGCCGACGTTGTAAAGCGATCGTTCCCCCGCCGATATGGGTAAGCCCGGAAACGCGTTTTGCGGAAAAACCGGAAGCATTGGCATTCGCGTCGCGGCAATCCGCGAGATCCTCGCCGCAGAGGGGCCGCTGCGATTCCGCGTCGACGGAAGACGGAGAAAAAGGAAATCTGCACTTGCGAGGAAGTTGAAACGCAAAACCAGGGCCAGGTTTCCCGTGAAAAATCATGTAGGGGCTGTGAAAAATCGAGCCCTGATAAGGGGTGGAGAAGATGCGCGCGTTATCACCGAGCCACCCTCGCACCCCTTATCAACGGTTGACACGTATGTGCGAACCATGCTCTCGATAGACACACGATTTTCTTCTTCCCTCCTCGACTCTTTTTCTCTCGAGCGTCGTAAAAAAGCACACTTCCCTCTTATCAAGCCCTCAGCTCGCCGGAATGATAACGGACAACCCTTAACGATATTTCCCAAATGAATAATAAACTACTCGTACTGTCGCAAAATCTTTACAAATGTACAATTTAGATATACGGAGTTGCGTTAAAACTACAGACTCTCTAAATAATAAATAATATAAATTAACCAAAATGGGAATAAAATATGAACTCCATTCGATGAATTCGACTGATATGGACTCCGGGGTCCGGCATCGCCTCGTGTGGCTTGGTAAAATATAAAAAGTCGCACGGTACTTTATCACGAGGGTTTACAGGATGCAGTGTCGTCCAATGCGATTCCCGATGCAGCATAAATAAAGGAAGAAGGCACGCCATTCGCGGAGAATAGCAATGGTATCGTAAAAAAGGGAGATTGCGAGTGCGGCCAAGAGATGGATATCGGGGCGATCTCGTATCAGCGATATTTACGACGTTAGTTTGAAAAAATCCACCCCCCTCCGCAGTTTCCACCCCTTTCCTTCTCATCGATTTTCGAAGAGAGCAAAATGATAAAAGAAAAAAATCGCGTGTCCTTATCCTTCATCTTTTTAATCCTGCAAGTGCATCAAGGGAGATCGTCACTTGCCTTTCTTCCCTTTTGACATATTTTATGTACGATCGATCGAGCGTAACCGCAGCTCTTATCGGTTCCCTTCTTATCGCGAGTCGCCTAATCGGGACAAGAAATTCTCAAGGGAATTCGCAAAAGAGGGGCACGAAATATTAATCGGGGCGTCTTCATGGGACTTGTACCTCCCGCGGGAGCTCGGTTTCGATCCCGGTATAACTAAAGAGAAAGGGTGGGAAAAACGGGGAGGGGGTTAAAAAGAGAGACGCGGCGTTTGCGAGCGTATCGTAAAAAAAGGGCTCGCGAGAGAGCGAACGGATGGATATCGAGTTGGTCTCGTATCATCAATATTTATGATAGTAGTTCGAAAAAGCTCGTTCCCTCTCTCTCCTACTCTTCCTCCGTCGCCTCCTCTCGGCTCTCTTTCTCGGGTCCTGCCGATAAAGAGCAGGGCCTCCCATAAAAGGGAAGAAAGGACAGAAACGACAAGAAAAGCTTAACAATAAGAGAAGTTCTGCCCGACTCGTTTTATCGTCCCAGGCTCGGATCCCTTTCTTTGGCGCTCTCTCTTTTATTTCTGCGGAAGCGTGCCTCGTTCCTCCTCCATTTTACCTCCTTTCTTTCCGGTGTGCCTCCTCTCTCCTTTTTTCTCCCTCCGTCGTTACCCCCGATGGGTCCTCCACCAGGACACGAGAGGACCGATCTTCCCGGCAGCTTATTCGGCTCCTGGACCACGGGATCAATTAACGGGACAGGATTACACGAAGAAATAAAGCAAGAGGGAAGATCCAATCAAAGGAAATCTCGGCCAGATGAGGATATCGTCGAACGGTCCATCTTTGCGGCGCTGATAAGGGTTATCCTCGGATATGGACCGCTGATAAGGGATTCGATGCCGCCCAATTACATTGCTTCGAGCAGTTCCTTTTAGTAGGTCTTGATCAGAAACCGCCGAATCAAGTGTCTACTGATCTCTGACTATGTTAAGATCAACCGATATTTTGGATGCAATATATTGCCGAAATTAATTTGCAAAGATAGTTTCAGTGATACTAATTCAGTACGCGTTGATAATTCATTACGTGTCATTATGGTGGATTTTCAACGTCTTTATCTTCCACGTTTTGTTTGTTTCAGCGGGCACGAATCTGGTGGGGAAATTCACTCAGAGTGTCAGAAGGATCGTCCAGGACGTCAAGGACGAGGGAACCTCCAGTGAGTAATATTGAAATTCGACTTTAGGAAAAATCTCACGATAACGCGAATGACAAGACACTTTAAAACGTACTAATCCACTCATTATCGAATCATGCTCGGTCATAACGCTCAAGTAGTTACTACTTGGTCGAACGTCTCAGCACTCGAGACTTACCTTTCATCCAACCTAAGTCTGCATTTGCGAGCATTTCCAAAACGTTTCGGCTGGGTGTTAATTTTCCACGAACCGCTTCGGGCTTTCCTCGGAACGTTTAACGATGCAGCAAGACGTTGATTATCCCAACGCATTTCGTGTAACCCCCTTCGCCCCTGCTCCATTTCCTTCCCTCGGTTCCATCGAGGAACACTTTACAAAAAGGATTTAAAAAAAAAGAAAAGAAAACTAGAAAAAAAGAACGAAATATTCCTCGGAAAATATCTCGCTACTTGCAGAGGATACTTTGAATGCGAAAGTAGCACCCCAGTGTTCTCCAGGATTCGAGGAATAAATTTTCAAATAATTCCAGTCTCATAATAATTGCTAAAAGATCGCCCCGTCGAAGATGTCTGTAAATAGGGATTGCTTGAAATTCCCACAGGACAGGATTTTCCAAAAGAAAAGTTTTGTTATCATGCCTAGACCAGAACCAAGATCACATTTATTAATGAAAAATGGAATTTCACGAGCATCGCGTTCGTCATTAGGGCCTCTCCGTAATCACGTGTTAACGTTTCAAATGCACCCAATTTGAAGGAAAGTTTTATTAATATTTTCAGGTTTTACGTATATCTATATAGAATGACCTTTTCATATATCAGCTTAACGAAATATTTCTTTGGTACTGTCCGCGGAAACATGTCCTTGGTTCAGTGTATTTTCTTTTTTTTTCTTTCTATTTTTCTATGAGACGATCTCGTGAAAAATTTGATTAAATGGGAGGTGCTTGAAATAGGTCCGCTAACGGGTTAGCAATTTGGCAAATCCCTTGCTCACGGATCGCGGCATTTCGGGCGACAGAGTGCCCGTCGAGTAGCTACTCGCAAACAGCTACGACAACCGCAACGATAGTGACGACGAGGAGGACGATGAAGAGGTCCTGGTAGAGGAAGTGGAAAGTAAGCTGGCGCAGAGCCAGCTGATAGGTACACCATTCGGCGAATGGAGTTGGAGCATAAACTCCGGCCGTTCCGCCAAGCGGAAGCGTGTCGGCGAGCGATCGGCGGGACGATCTCTCTCTCTCTCTCTGGCGAACTTCGACTCAATTAAATTCGGATTAAACCTCCCATAACCGAGGCGGAGCATAAAGCCATATGTTCCGAATCGACGAGTGCCGATGACTTCCGAAAAGTTCCCCTCTGACCACGAGAATTAGATCCCACTGCGGCACCTGTCGAAATTAATTCCGAAACTGGAGCGCACCTCTGCGATTCGAGCGCACTTATTAATATACGCGGGAAATGAAAAGGAGAAAGAAAAAAATCTCGTCGGAAATGAAACCTCCAAATTATGGAGAATTAATATTTATTTCTCTTACCCGTTCTCTGGGTACAAAGTGTCATCGAATTATCACACAAAGTGATCGTGAATAGTAATTAACCGTAGAAAAAGATAAGGGAAATGTTTTAACGAAAACAAATTAAAATAAACGGATCGTTCGGTTTTGGGTACCTTTTATTAACGAGATGAAAGGTTTCATTAAGAAAATGTACAATACGCTTTCATGGATTTTCGAGAAATTTTTCGAGCGTAGCATGGAAGTGTCGGCCGATAAGTCTATTGGAAATTAAATTATCGATGATTCGCCAAGTACCCACGGTACATTTGCAACGAAATTCACCGGAGCGGCGTAGAAATGAAAATGACACCAGCTCGCAATACCGTCGGGAGGTTTTATTGCGGCTTGAAGTTGTCCTTTTACGACGTGCCATTCTATTTCGAACAGAGTTGCGAACCTCGAGCCGGCATTTTTAAACCCTATTTACGGTTTTACGCTTCCGCGGTATGAGAGCCACGCGAGACGTTTCCGCATCCGCATCGACCGCGCGGAAGGCTTTCGCAAAATCGGGAACCAGATTAAAGAAACGCCTCGAAATTGAAGAAATTTCCCAAGACACGCCCGTCGCGCGCCAACAGGTATTATAATATTAAATAACGGAGGGGCGATAAAAATTTTACGCCCTCCCATCCGCAGATAAGCGGAACAGATTCCGTCCTTCCGGCCCGTAATTTCTGGGCATAAATGTTACGGAACGCGGACGGTTTAATTATACAGAACAAGAGGACTGGAGTTAATGGTGCCCCATGAAACCTCGTTTTACCAATGGGATGCAAAAATGGGACCTCGCGGAACGACCGATAACGATCACGTTAAATGCATCAAAGCCGGATAATAGGCCGATCGGAAGTGGGGCTGATACCGCCAAAGAGGAGACCAAAAACGCACCCAGCACGGAAGTAAAGAGTCTAATTACTCCAATCCCTAATAGCAATTATCGGATCGCGCCCGCCAGTAAATTCGGTACACGCGAGTTGCGCGTATACTTCCGTCGCCGGTGAAAAATCGATTCTCATCGGCGAGATTCGGTGATTCCGCCTCGGAAAAGTCAGTTTGATTGGCTTCGATTAGCCCGAAATACCGGATAAGCTTACCGGGTGACGAGCAAACTCTTGCCAAATTTCCCGCTCGCAATTATGCCTCGACCCGAGACTTTATTAACCGGCGGACTCTGTCAATATATTCAATTGATATAATTCGATCAGGTATCAAAGCGCAAATTACATACACCGCGAGTCATAAGCATACCCTGGGAATGAAATCAGAGATTTAATTCCGCCAACGAGGCCATCTCTTTTCCCGCTGCTCTATTTACCTGCCCCGATCTCCGCTTTTTACGTTTACCTCTGCCCCTTTACCTTTTAATTTCCCGGGACAATCATTCCCTCGTACTACTTAGTCACAAACCTGCGGAAAGAGGGCCGACAAAGGGCTGGAAAAAAATCCCTCGGCCGAATCGAATCGCGGCTCCCACGATTTAACGCGGCGATCCCTCGATTCCATTGTGATCGCACAAAGACATTCCTTATCGATCCTTTCGAATCGATCGGAGGCTCCCGAAGGAAACCTCAAAGAGGATGGACTCGATAGACACGCACGGCAGCTTTGTGCCAGGCCGAGTGATTGGGGGTCCTGTCTGAAATCTGAAATCTAAAATCTGAAATCGCGATTCCGACCTCCGTGTAATCTAGTTCGTTCCGCGCGAGCGGAAACTCGCATTCGATTATGATAATTGTCCGGTCGAGCGTGAAATTCAGTTATTTTCCAAGACGGAAATACAAAGCGATCCAAAACGATGAAAAATCTCCCGGGAAATTCCATTCACCTCCGGGATAAAATTTTACCCTCTAATTACTCCGATACGATATATCGATTAGCACTCTGATTTATAAGCTCACAAACGAGTCTCGAATCTTCTGACACGGTTAATTAATTTCATGTTATATCAAATATTAAGCGAAAGTTACTGCTAGGAGTACTCGAATACGAGTGATATCGATATTTATTAAGTCGTGTCATTTGTCGATCATGTCGCGAGAATATCGAGTCATGGAAGAACTGCCGCTATTATCGCGCCGTGATATATAGAAACTGTATTATCAGAACACGTTGTTATATCAGAATCGAGTGTATATCAAAGTGGAATAAAAATTTGAGAAGGTAATTCACGGATTTATCGCGGTTTTTAAACAGTACGTCAACACCTTGTCCACTTAATTCGAAACTCCACTTCGTTAAACAGTTTTTATTGACACATTTTACACGATATGCACCCTCTTTTCAAGAATCACTCGTCGTTTTACGGCAGTACTCGATCGGAATCAGCTACTTTGACAACTCCCTTCCCCCCGGGGGAGGTCAGAAAGTTGCCGTAACTGTGAAACTTATCATAAAAATACAGGTGGCCAGACGAAGGAGGAAGTGATCGAGACGAACGAGAGGCTCAGAATCGTGAGGATGCGGCTAGATGGAAGTTACGACACGGCCAAAAGAGCCCTGGTCACTCTGATGCGCAAGTACACCGACAGCAAACAGATACGGAACGTTTTCCAGCGGTACAACCAGCTGAAGCTCATGATAAAGGTGAGAAAGGAGGAAGCTCGATCGGAGGGGGTGGTTCCATGGGAGGGCACTCGTAAATCCCATGGATACATCCCCCGGCGAGCACCCCCTCAGCCATTACGACTCTTCTTAATAGATTTACGTCCCTTTACTCTCGATGTACACCGAGGATCATCCATGCTTCCCTCTGAACGGCGGAAAATCAATTTTCCAATTTTTTACCGGCCAAAGGTATCGACAACGAGCTTTCAAAGGGTTTTCCAATCGTTTTCCAATTTGTTCCCGAGCTGTCTATTTTTTTCGCGATGGAGCCCCTGATACCCTGATTGGGTTTGGTATCCTGAGCGAAAAGTGTCCTTTCTGGGGGAAATTTTTTACATATCGGCGATTCGAATGATTCCTGCTGAAGAAATTTCATTGCTGAGGAACTCCCATTTTTGTATAATATCATCTTTCCTTTGTGTTCGAGAGACTTGGCTTATCGCGTACGTGTTCGTTCTTTCCCAGGACGTGATAAAATTGGAGACCCAATACTGGACCCTGGTGGACATCCCTCGGCAGGAGAAGCAGGAAACGGTGCCGGCGTTCGTTCTGCGAGCCTGCGCCATTATGGAGAAAACGCACAAAAGCGGCGAAGGGGTGAAGACTACTGCGCGATTGGCCGAAGAAGCGGAGAGCAAGAGGGACCGCATAGAACGACTCGAAAGTACGTACCGGTCCTCTTTCTCGTGCATTTTGCATATTGGCTATTCTTCCCTTAAATAAATCTCCAAGAAACGGGTCTAGGGAACGCCTGGTGCGCTGGAAATTCCCTAGGTCTTTTGAGCAAGGTCCAAAGGACCCTCTCCGGCGTTACTTCGGCGACTCGACAATGGAACGTCGGAGCCAAGCAAAGGGTCCCTGAGGACCTTTGATCCTGGAATTTCTCTCGAAGTCAAGTAATAATTGCGTAATTCGCGGGCAGAAGTAACCGGCAATGCTTGGTTTAATTGTTTTACCCATCACGAGGGTTACTTCGAGAGCAAGGACTGGAATTACCTCCAGCTGGTGGAACGTCGACTGGGGCGATGCAGGAAACAGTTGCAGGAAGAGTCGAGAGACAGGGAGTGTAATCCTTCGAGGTTTCCTCCTGGTCAGTTCTTTCACCAAGAGGGACAGGATTTACGTGGCGTCCACGGCCAGGTCTCCTGATTTACCAAGGTCCGCAACGAGGAACCTGCAAAACGTACCCCTAAATACTAGGTCGAACAAGTTTGCACTACCTAACAAGCCCCCGTTTGTTGTCATCCCGGAATAGCCCCGTTTGAGAAAGAGGAATAGTATCGAAGATGCAGCCAGTTTCCAGCACTTTACGCCCGATTGCTCCCGGCCAATAACCATTATCCTGGCGCAAGATAATCGAAGATATCCCCCGTTTGCTCCCCTCCTCCCCGGGTCTGGATTTTGCATGGTTTTCTATTTTCTTTCGAGATCGTGCCACCGTTTAGCGACTCAATGGACTTTCTCGGCGCCTCTTAAAGGGCACCGGACAAAGGAAAAAGAGGCGGAAAAATGAATGGATCAAAAGGGACAGTCAGGAATTTAATTCCGTCACGATTCGTTGATGGTCTTATTATTCAGGCGCCAAGGGACCAAATGGTATTAAATTCGTACTCGGGTAAAACTCGGAAAGCTCAATATTCAGGATCGATAATTTCGAGTCGAAAATCCCTGGAGTTTTCCCAAGGGACCGGACGCATGGTCCTGTATTCGGAAGGGCGTGTGATATAAAAAATGGTTTCTCTTTAGGGGGAAAGAAAGATAATAAAAAGGACTCGATTCCAGTCGAGGCCAAGACACGAGGACGCGAGTCCCTGGAGGAAACCTCGAATAATACAGAAGGGAAGATCCCCCAGAGAGAGGACCAAGAGACGAGTCCTTCGAATGACACCGACAGCCTTAAAAATCATTCCAGAGGCGTCGCAGCTTCCGGCCAAATCGACCGATGACAAATGAGAGGAGCGAACACGGTATCCCCTGCTCTCGCGCAAATTGTCCAAGAAATCGAAGAGTCGATCAGCTCGACGCGCCCCTTGGAAACTTTCCAGCCATGAATAATAAGTTATTTTCCACCAGAGAAGACGGACCAGTCCGGAAAAGAAGGTCCTGGCGCGCCTGGAAGGACACTCGTAAAACAACAGAGCCATCAATCGCAAGAGAGCACCTCTCCCCCGTCTCAAATATTAAAAAAATTAAAAGCCGCGTTATTAACCGGTCCCAAAATGATCAAAACTACCTCTCCAAATTCCATACATTATTTTCTTCCGGAATAATAAGTGTAAAAAAAATGATTTCGAGCGGGACCTTCTCGTGGGAACCATCAAAGAGCGCTCAGGGATCCCAATCAGCTGACTGTGTTATCCTACCTGGATTATAACCCCCCCTCGTACTTTATCGATACGAAAGTTAGAGAAACACGACCTCCGACGACGTTACGTGAAATTGAAAAATACACAAGCGAGCTCGCCATTTCTCGCTCGCCGACAAAGGCGTTAATGTCGCCAGCAGTACGCCTAGATAGCAATACGCCCGATATTGGCACAAAGGTTCGCGTATCGCCGTTCTTTCCGCAATAACGGGCCCGGAATTGCGAATTCCAGTGAAATTACGACGCCCCATCGTAAACCAATTACGATCGAACCATGCTATCCCGACGAGAAGGGCCGTTTACGTCGACGGGATGTTTAGACGAGGTGCACCCGAGGAAGGGGTGAGTTCTTTCCCGGGGATGCTGTCTCGTTAAAAGAGAGCAGGGTTGGCTTCTCGTCTTACCACCCTCGGTGATATATCGAAGCAACGTCAAAAACCGTATTATTCCGTCTCGGTGGGAATCCATTATTCTTCCGACGTGCAACGAACGTTAAGATGACAAATAGGAGGGGGCGCAAGGATTGGAGGACGCAGGGAGAAAAATCGTCCTTCGCGAGTTTCCGAACACCAATGGCGGATACAGGATACGCGTTGTAATCTGTAGACTTCCTTTCAAACCCCTGTCCTCGTTAATTCACCCTGGGAATTAATTTAAGCGGTAGAACCGTTCGTTTCATATTTTCAAACACTCCGAAATTAAGGTGACATTTTCCAGAGCACTATTTATTTCATTTATTAATTTCAGAACCTCCGGAATTGTGTTTGAAAGCAGGAGAGAAAAATTCAGGGTACGGTGACAGGGAAGAAGCGTGTAATTAATTCGCGCAGGGTGCGGTAAACGGATTTGATCGCGGATTATTAATTAACCGAATTAATAATCCGCGATCCTTCCGTGGAAGCGGACGTCGAAATCCTGTTGTCCAAGCGTTTGTCCCTGTCTCTCGTCCTTGGTCTTACAGAGGTAATTAAGTTAATTCAGCGGAGTAAATTCACTGATTACAGATATGACCACGGCCCAGATCGAGGCGGAGAACACCCAGATGACCAACGATCTGTATAGGCTCCTGAAGAAGTACACGGGCCTCAGGAATCTCATCAGAGACTTGAAGGTATCATCTCTCAGATTTCCTCGGAACCCCGTCACGGATGAGACCGTCGGCGGATCGTTCGCCATCTCTCATCAACGGCGTCATCAGGCGTCGCGATAAACGAGGCTGACCGGCACATAAAGATAGCTTTAATCGAAATCCCCAGCCTCGTTTTTACGACTTTACGCGCTTACGAGCAAGTTATTAGGAGCTCTGACTCGTATTAAAAAGGGGTCACGGAGAGAGAGTGGGATCCCTCGGATGCCAAGATCGAATTCAAGCGAATCGGACGGAGCCTCGCTCATTAATATCCGGTAAAAAGAGACGTTACTTTGAGTAATTGGCTGACTCGCCGGCTTTCATGCCGACCCATACCGAGAAGCATCTCATCCCCCGGCTGATTCAGCCGGGAAAACGGCGCAATAATTTCCTAACTCCGTCGTCTCCTTGCTTTATTCCCCAATTAATCGAACGGCACGACCGAGGAGCGAAGAAACCGCGTCCAAAGAGACGGTCCCAGTTTTTCCTGGTGGAGCTGCGAACAGAGTAGGTTTCGAGGGGGATTGCAATCCCCGGGTAAGACCGACTGTCGTTCGGGATGTGATTTTAAAGTCGACTAACAAGATGGAGTCGGGTATGAATGCACTTTAATGCCGAGTGCATGCAAGCCCCGGCTCGACCGCGCTTAAGGGCGGCTCCTTAACCCGGACAGAGGGATCCCCGAATGCCGAGATCGAATTTCGGCAAGCCGAGAGCTTCCCTAACTAATGCACGGCTAAAGGGGACTTTACTTTGAACCGGTTGAACCGGCTGCTTGACTTTCGTATCGACGTGCCTTGAGGGAAGCCTCTCTCTTCATCTTCCTCGGGACACTCGACGACTCCGAGCCACTCCACCTCTTCCTGGCTCCTCTCTTCTCCTTTTTCCCGCTTCTTCCGCCTGATCCCCCGCTTTTACGGAGCTCCACCTCCCTGTCTTCGATATACACCCGGCGACTTCAAGGGAAGATTAGCCGCAGGGGGGTATTTAGACCCGAGAAGATGTCTCTGCACTTTTCACGGCCCTAGGAAAGGGAGCGGACGTAACCCGCGATATAGACGTAGCCCGGGGCTCGAAGGATTCCACCTTGTATGAATACCTTGTCGTGGGTCTCGAGAAATCGAGATCGCGTTCTAGAGGACGCCCCTGAAGAGCTGCTCCGGCTGGCCAGGAGGTCTCATCCGTATGGCCTTTTCTCTATTACCTTGTTGTCCAATTACTCCCCCTCTGATTCAGGGCCTCGAATTACCGCTCCCCTCCCAACTAGAGCCACGAAACTCCTGTTCGCGCAATCGACCCTCGGACCCATAGAATTCTAGAAACCATGTCCAAAGTTCTCTCTACACTAAAAATGTCCACTTGAAAGAACCAGAATTCCGGTTATTTCATGGGAATCGCAATTTAAAAGGTGCCCCTGCTATTTTTCTGGTTAAAAGTGAAATGTCAAATATTATATCTGGTTGCGTTAATACCGTCTCTGGGAAATCCAATTAGAATTCCCTAGAAGGGAGTCATGAATTTTCCCCCGGAAAATTATTTACTGGCTTAGGAATCTACGATTAACCGTGCAGTCGCGCAGACTTCGATGCCAATAATTTTCTAGTTACTAATCAGAGTTTGTCATTGATGGTCGCTAGACATCTTTTAAACGGACCATTCTAGTGACTTTCATTGGTACTTTTTTTTTTAATGCGGCAACGCGTAGCTGCCAAAACGGTGGACGGAATGGCGGAAAGTGAAAGTGCTGAACCCCCTGATATGTACGAATTTCTTTGCTTTTCCAGGAGGAGTACAACAGCTCGAAGGTGTACCCGATGTTTCCCCGCTACTCGATCCTGAAAGACATGATCAAAGACATTATGCACAACCCGGACTACATGGAGGTGTGTCACGAGGTGGACCTGGCATAGCGTCCAGACCCCCTCCATCGTTCGCCACGGATGACCTTGTAATTTCAAGGCTGAAGGGGCGAACTCGATGAAGGGGGTTCCCATAGAAGACCTGACGTTTTGCCGAGCGACCGTCGCTTTCGACTCTTTTCCTGGACTCCCGAGGGACCCGAAGAGGGACGTCAAGAGGCAGGAACGGAAATCCAAGTGCACCCTTTCCTTCCTCCATGGGGCGAAACGTTCACTTTTTATGGACGTCGTATATGGCACTTGTCCCCTATTCCAGGCTCCCTCGGAACTTGCGCGGTGTACCGGCCATCTGAAACTTCTCGCCGACGTAATTTAGCTTACCCTGACCTAACCTAACCCTGTCGAGCCGCAGACCACCAAGCGTTCTCGCGAGAGCTCGTCTTCGCGAGTTAACGCGCCTCCGATGTACTCAGGACCTCACCTGGAAGACCCTCCGGGGGAGGTCCTTCGATTTTAGCCAAAGGGTATACATAGCGTAGCCAGTTCCGCTCCTTGTGGCTTCCAAGGGTCGTAAATAGTTGACCGTGGTCGGGAAATGCTTCTCAGGACTTTCAGGCATCCGCTCGTCGAACCTCGTCCTGGGAGCATCTCCACGTCCTGCGAAACTCATTCTTCCGATCCTTCGATCGGAATAGCCGCGAGCACATTGGCACACAAATTCTGAAGCGAAAAGCTGATCCTTTGCCGAAGGTGAAGCTTCTTATGTCACGGTAGCCTAAATTCCCATGTTTAGAAATGAGAGCGAAGAGTGAAACTATTTTACTTATTTTAATTGAGTTAATCGCGGGATTTCGGGTGGTTACCTGACAACAGATTTTAATCGTCGGTTAGCCAAACTCTTACCGACGCACCTGGAATCTCACTAATCCGCGATTAACTATCCATACTTAAAGAATTCCACGATTATCATTCCCTTTACGGTGAGATAAAAATGTATGAAGAGGTTTCACTTTAAACCCGATTGCATTCCTATTTAGGTAACAATGCACCGCGCAAAGTACAGTTTGGACGGGTTTAAAAAATCACTTGCGTGCTTGACAACGACGACGCGTTCGGATACGTAATTCGGATAAGGAGAGTCAAGGGAGACACGTAGGCAGATAGAGATTTGCGATTTAGGTGACACCAGAGGCCCTTAGGGGGGTTCAAATCAATACCGAAATTCGTATCGACGGGAAATGAGAGAAATGTGAAATGAGAGAAAGAGTAACGGACGATTACTCCGCGGAACTCCAATAAGCACTCGGTGGTGCGGACACGACGTACAGACGTCATAAATAAGTATGGGAAATACCGTGTATGCTTAATCTCCTCTGAATATGCCACTTTGTGCTTATTGTGACGTATTCAAGCAACGCAGGCCGTGCAATGAACGCTTTATCTACGGAATGGGCACTCGAGGAACACCTCCTTGACACGTGACGAGTTATACGTAACCGTGTGTGTGACTTATACGTAAAGTACCCGATATATGCGATAAGTGTACATAGAGTGTACAAGAGTCCTTCGTCGAGAGGATCCTTTTTACATTTTGTAAGTCGAAGCGTTTCCCCTTCTCCTCCTGAATATGAATATAGATTTCGGGAGGGAATTTTTCCTTGAGGATCTCTGGTGTCTTTTGAATGTCGCTACCGATCTCGCGATATTTGGGGAAATCTGCCGAATTTCGAACACACGTATCACGGAATGTTGGAGCAATATCTCAGGAGCATTGCAATCATCGATACCCATTCCCGCAATGATGCCGAGACGTTACTGCAAGTTCTGGGCTACGAGGACATCAGCTGGTCGCGCGGGCGACATTAATTTAGTCTAGTGGTCGGTTTACTCGATTATTTGACAATTGACATATCGTGGTCGGTATGCCGATAGCCATGAATGCCCTCCCATGATACGCTGCACTGTCGGAAAAAAAGGAAAACTTGAATAAATTCGTGAAATATCGGATTTCTTCAGGCGTGGTATATTAAAATTGATGACACTCGTAACTTTACTTAATGCACAGGCTTTGACATTTTGCAAATCGGGTAAAAAGGATTTCCGATAAGCTGTAAAACTGGATACTCGTTCATAAATTTGCAAACATTGGGAATTCATTTAAATCACCGTATCTGGTATGTAAGTTTAGGGCCGTTTTGTATAATGAAATGGATGAAATTTGCATGTTTATCGGCGTCGCGGGGTTGTATTAGGATGGAAGGCATTCATGCCCGTCAGTGTACAAGTTGACGTAGTAAAGGAGTAGTTAAACTTACGATTAGGCGTTTTATATAGATATGTCGTTCGATATTCGACGTGCCGTGCGACGCCCCGAAACGCCTGGGACGTCGCGGCGGGAACGTGCCATTTTTAAAGAGCAATACTCGCGCATTAATTAACCTACACATGTTATATGAGTAAGTACATGCCTAGATTACCGTACGAGTACCTAATAGATAGGAGAGGCGTTATCTAGGGTGCGAGACCCTCGCGAAGATGATGAGTCGATTTCGGAAATAAAGGGCTTAACAGATACCTCAAGTAATTGCAACATTAATCCCAACGGTAAAAAGTGAAGAATAAAATTGCTGAAAATATAACTCTAATACATTTTCTTGCAATTTTATTAGCCTACTTTTACTGTATGCTAACGCAGGGTATCTGAGAAGGCCTTAAGGTGATATGAAAGTGGGATCTAAGGTGTCACTCGTATATGTCAGATTTTTTTGCAAGCCACTGTATCGAATTGTTTGAAATCTTACCACATGAATGTGGAGGCCCTGAAGAAGGTCCTGGCACCCGTGAAATTTCTTTCTTTTTACAAATTTTTAAAAATGCTTATAGACTAATTAAATCAGGAATACAATTTCATGGGCGGCAGGATCTTCTTTCGGGCCTCGATTTTCACGTGGTACAATCTCAAACGACTCGATACAAAGTTCGGGGAAAAATGTCCGAAAACGAGACCCCTCAAATGACACTTTTATTCTACCTTTTGAAACGCTTCTGTCGCAAAGTCTTGTAAGGATAAGTGTAAGCGCATCGACGTTCAATTGCGCGGTTCATGTTGCTAAGGGGAGCTTTAAGATGCTCGTCGATTTTCTACTCAGTCGAGGGTCGACGAGCGAAGTACTCGTCCGAGTCGAGTCAGAGGTAAGACGAAGTTTCTCGTTTAATCGCCCCGAGTTTAAACGCCCCGAAATGGCGAGTGCGTTGATAGTAGGAAAATTTCCTCAGAAACTGAAGTCCGACTTCAAGCCAGTAAAGAAGAACTCCAAGGCGTATAAGTAAAAATGGTCCTTCGCAAAAAGTGAACTTAAGGCGGTGTCCGACTGGCTGGACCTCTCCCTCCCCGAATACAACAAACTATCGCGAATTAAACAAGTACAATGCTTAAGGACATAATCAAACGAGTCTAATCAAACGTATAACTCCGAAATAAAAAAAAACGATTCGCGAGAAAATTCCCCAGCGCCCTCAATCCCAATATCGATATCCTTAAGGCGATATAAAAGTGGCATCTAAGGAGTCAATCGTTCATGAAACTTTTTCCCGAAATGGGTGCACCGGCTCGTTTCAAACTTTCCCTCGTGAATGTGAAGGCTATAAGGAAGGATGGCTAACCGTCATAAAATGTCATTATTTATACCAAAAAGAAATGTTTGAAATGCCCATAATGAAATTTTAAAAAATCGAGATTTCATATAAGACCTTTCGTCAGGACCTCCACATTCACGTGATAAAATTTCAAACTATCCGACATCTAATTTGGATAAATTCTCATGTACGAGGTTCTCTAGACGCCACTTTCATATCACCTCAGTTCTTCACTTTAATACCACTTTAATCCTCCCTTGAGAACAACACCGGTACAACATTGTTTAGCAGTTTTAGGAAGTTTGAGGACTAATTCTCATTAAAAAAAAAAAAGAGAAGAGAAGCAGGGGAAGGAGATTCGAACGGTCGAAATCGCGCGCTCTTTTGAAGGAGCGGCGCCGATAAAAGTGATAAGCGATTAACGAGGTGCACATCCTGCACGTTGACTCCTCTCCGACGGTACTTCACCGAAACGAAGTAGGACGGCGCCTTATAGGGAGGCTGACATAACGCTTCGAGTCGTTAAACGAAATCGCGATCTCGGATATCCGCCGTGGAGATATCGAAGCCGCGGAGATCGCACTGGCGCTCGTTACGTCTGGCACTTTTTATGAAGCCCGTAGTACGCTTAACGTATAAGATAGGTACGTGTAAAATTACCGACTAAGAGCATACATTTAAACGACGTACAACTAGCATATCTGCTAAATGGCTGACAGCCCGAAATCAAAAGACAAAATATATATGGCGCGGTCGATCGAGATGGAGAGCAACCCCGTCAGGAGACTCGACGGGGTCCCATGTCGATCATCGGCGTCGATTAGTACTTTGGTGTTTCAGATACCTTTCCTAACCTAACCGATCGAAACCTAATCGTGGCAGAGGCGAGCCAACATACGGTGATATGGATAACGACGATCCGGCTAATTGATCTCAATCCGTAGATAGGCTGGGCGAGGAGCGTCGATACGTTACTCGCTATTACGAATAGGTAATAAAGTAATGCATTACATGACAAGGTAACGAGAATCGAATACAGATCTTGTAGTTTTCGAGTCTCTCGGTGCTTTGTCGAAGGGGACGAATTTGACGTCGCTCGCATCCGGCCTTGTTAGAGTGTTTTTTAAGGGAACCTTCTCATTGTCAGTGTCCAGTATAGCTTGTCCGTGTAATTTGTTTATTCGCCCCTACCCCTCGGCTGATAAGCGTATTCGGTGTAACGGGTATCTTAATCAAAAGAATCGAAACGCAGCCTCGCGTCAAAAGGGACATCCTTTCCTGCGACGGCGCGTTTAAATAAAATGAAAACATAAATAAATAAAGCGCCGTCGGCGGGAGCGCAACTTAACGATCAAAAGATCCATATCAAAATTCTTACCGCGACTTGCTAACGATCGATCTTTCAAAAACCTACC